CATAGAAGTTTGAAGTCAGAAGTCAACTGCCGATCAATAGGCTTTTTTGCCGTATAAGTGTACGTTGCCCAGGGTGCACCACGTGGAGGTAAATCTATTGCCCACCGCTCGGAAAATATAATAAGTACACTTGGATCAACGAGCTTACGATTTACTTTGAGTAGGTTATGTAATGCAGATGTAGAATATTCCGGTTTTTTTATTTAGTTACTATTGCATGGAAGGGGTGATCTTGGGTAACCTAATTCGTCCTAAAATTTATATTCCAGCGTCTCAGCTAAATATTATCATCAGTAGAGTTTCTTTATTTTTGCCTTCGTAGACGAAAATCTTTGCTCTTATTATACTAATCGCGTTTCTGGAATTAGTTGTTTATCTCACAAGTCGTCTAGATCACATTGGTTGAAAATCCCAGTCGTGTTCATGTCTTAGGAAGGCGGTGTGATAGAACTCATCTCCTGGATATCCCCTCCCCCTCTCCTCCACCTAATTGACTCTGGAAGTTTCTTGAAAGTTGGTGATGCACTCATTTACTAAGTGACTGATCACAGATTCGCTACCTAGCTAGTTTAGCCACACCTTCGCATTAGAAGATTTCTACGATGGCATTCTAATTGATTTCAACGAATGTGTAATTAAAATGAAAAAGTTGCATTTTCATTCGTATGACTTTTGATTGCTCTATAGTTAAGCCAATGCATGTGACAAGCTCTCCTGATTTTGAACTAGAAAATAGCAGAATTTATGATGATTCTGGGGGGGGGGGGTTGAATTTTTTGTTCCCAACCTAAACGCTGCACATGAAATAAGCCTTCACTAATGTGATATTTACATCTGATTTGTAGTAGTACTAAAAATGTACTACCTGTATGGGATCATCTTCAGAGACCGGGCATTCCGCCCTGAGGACGTAGCTAAGATCAACTCAATTTAACCGATATCGTTTTTAGTTTGTTGGGAATACTTAGTTTATCAATAGTATAGCGAGTAAACTGGAATTCTGCAATTATTCACGGGTAATATGCCCAACAGTGAATGCCTTCAGTGGTGGAAACAGTCAACCATTTTACCCAATCCTACTAAAAAGTTTGTAAAACGCGATTTTTTCCCCAGAGCGGATTTTCAAATCCAAAAAAAAACACTTCCAGAATGAAACTCATAGCAGTTGAATTTCCTGTACCTTAAAAAAAGTTCAATTTGATTCCTTTGAATCAGGTTATGTTTCTCTAAATAAGTTCGATTGCTCAAATCAATTTTTTTTGTGTTGCCTGTTTCATGAGGTCGATAATTTTAACTCATCTGTGCCAACATCGTTAAGAATTGGCTCCCCAAATATTTTTTTCCAGAGTTTTATTTCATAGGAAAAGGAGCCGATCTGAAGGATGGAAGTATTCTTGGATTACAGCTCCACGTTTATGCAGGACCAAGAAAAGAATAATTTGTACTTACTGCTTCTAATTAGATTATATCACCCATTATCCACCAGGGCCATTGCTAGTGATAAATTTGGAGTAGGCTACTTGAGTAGTTTCTAAATCCAAACCAAGCCCCCTGTCAACACAAAGCAGATCATCATGACCTATGACTGTAGGTAGACCGTCAACATCGGGATCATGATGATTTGGTACCTCCTCGCTTGTGTGCGTTACCGTGTTTAAGTCCATCACACTACTACTAATGATCTTTCATTCGATGTAGTAAGATCTAAAACGATTATCTGGTCAGACCACATCGCTATGGCACACTTGTATTCAAACCTTCCAAAGGTCTTAATCCAACTGGGAGGGGAAAAGTCGACACATGAGCTTGAATATTTATTGAGCAGAGCATATTCAACTGAGCGATTCCTCACTAGATGCATCATTTTCCTTTAAAGTGGCGACACATTCACCAAAAGCCCAATTAATTGGATCATTAACGTTCAATAGAGAACCTTCATGATTATGCACTAGCCAGAATCGCCATTTGAACTTCTTTTCCATGAGGTCTTTCCTCGTCTTGCTCGATAGTCTACTGTACATCAGCATCAGACAATCCATATTATAGATTGTAGGTCCTTCACAATTACAGGGGACCAGAAATACAACAACTTTATATTTAGTGCCAAGTTCGTCGCCGTGTTCGTTCAAATAACCACTCAACTCCTTGGGATAGTTTGCGAACAAAATTAGAACAAAAAGTTTATTCTCGACTTCCGAGTTAGCTGAGCTGATGGGAGGTTCTTTTAGGCGTACTACTTCAGTTTTATTCGAGGTGGATCGGTTGCAAATGGCCAATACATCAAATACTACCGCCGCATTTTCAAGCCCCTCCATTTTGATATTTCTGAATGTAGTCACGCGTAAACTAGTGTCATACATGTAGTAGCAAGCATTAATGCACCTATCCTGTGGATAGGGAAGGAGGAGGCTCACAAGTTTGGCATCTAGCCACTTCCAATTACGGCAGACAGATGCTGCATAGGAGGACACGTCAAATGTTTCAGTCCAGTTGTCAATAACGTAGGGAGCAGCAATCTCCAGCATCGGTGGTAGAAATGAACGTAGATAGTATCGTTGATCTGCTGTGAGATCTGAGAGCTTCTTAATCCGAAGCCTATTCAACTGGGCTTTCTTCTACCAAAAAAGGAAGTTGTTAGCAATGCTGAAAACCCTAACTGTTCAGGTGGATATTTTTTGAAGTACTCACCATTACCATTTCTCCAAAACCTGTGGTCGTTTGCATATGAGAAGAAATCCTTTGAGTTTATAAAAAAATACTGATCTGTTATCTATATTGCTGGTTTAGAGTTGTACTCAACCTTGTGACTGATGTTGTTGCAATGATAATATGAATTTTTACCTCTACTTAAAATAGCTGTTGCTTCAATTAAGTAATATGCAACATAAATAGTCAGAAAATGGAATTGAGCCCATTTCAAGGAACTGCTAATTTTCTGGAGGGTATTTAGAGAAGCGAAATTAGCGACTGAATGCCAACCAACCGGTGAATAGTGCTAGTTAAGCCATTCCACTTGGGCTTCAATAGCCACACCAAAGCAAACATGCTTGAAACTTTTAGTCATGAAGAAGCATCTAACAACAGGAAGAGATTTAATGGTAGGAGTGAGATTCAGTAAATTAGAAGAAGTCAAATTCACCTGGACGAGCTGACGTAGTCTAATCAATAACTCAAGAGGATTCGCGCGAAAATTGGGAAGTGTGCATTTGTCAGATATGATAATGTTCGTGGGAAAGAATGTACTGCTGCCTGGACTATAATTATTGGGGATTTGCAATTTCTTGTCTGCCAGTCTCAGGAAGGGAAGGGGTGTTTGAAATCCCACTTTTCAGATTGCCACCTGCAAATTCGACTTCAAATTCAGGGAGAGTTCTTTAAGGGATCTTGTGAAAAGTGCCAATATGGTGGGACTTGAAACCCTAATTAGGATTAAAATAAACTTTGAATGTTACCAGGCACGTTGCTACTGAGAAATTAGAAGTCGCCTTGTCTAAATACCCCCCCCCCCTCCCTCCCTCCTCCCAAGTAATGGGGCACTCTATTTTCCATACCGACATGAGATACACTTGAAGTCTCATATTAGGGGAAAGAGAAATGGCATGCATGATAGGGTGGGTGCTGTCTTTCAACATTCCATATTTCAGACTCGGGGTGTGCGATAGACTTACCTCCACGTGGTGCATCCTGGTGGGTGTGCGATAGACTTACCTCCACGTGGTGCACCCTGGGAAACGTATACTCATACGGTAAAAAGTCTATTAACCGGAAGTTTGTGTGCGATAGACTTACCTCCACGTGGTGCACCCTGGGCAGCGTATTTTCTTACGGCAAAAAAGTCTATCACTCGGCTTTCGTTATATTCATACGGCAAAAAGTCTATTAACTGGCAGTTAACTACGATAGACTTACCTCCACGTGGTGCACCCTGGGCAACGTACTTTCTTACGGCAAAAATTCTATCACTCGGCATTCGTTTTTCAATAGACTTACCTCCACGTGGTGCATCCTGGGCAACGTATATTCATGCGGCAAAAAAGTCTATTAACCGGCAGTTGACTTCAAATTACCATGACCCCACTGTATGTCATATTCGTCCCCTTTCACAGTACTCACCTCACCTTTTTCTATCTTTGTATCTGTCTGTCTGTCTCTTTTACATCTTTGAAACACTCTTCTGTTCGCCCTCCCCCCCCCGGTTCGACTTTTTTCACTTTGGTGTTCTTTCCTCGATGTGTAGCCTGATGTCAACTAAAGGGCTAATGATAACTATCAAAACGCCTGCAATTTGATATAAATAAATATTTCAGACTCTTACATGTCATTAACAATTACTCATTTTGACACACTTCCAACCAGTGCCTCCTCCATACAAATCCTCTTTTTTGAGTCAATTGTACCGCGGGACAAATGCATTATGGAAGCATTGATTTAACTTTACCCCAATAATAAAGCAGCACACATTTATTCGTGGAGACGAAATATAAGAAAGATCTGGAATAGCCAAATTATCAGTCAGTATTAGGCGAATTCTCTAGGATACTGCGAACGAAGACTAACTATTTCGATAATATTAAACCAAATCATTGACAGTGACGTTAATTTTGTTATTGTTCCAACACAAAGTCTCTATTAACACCCCAAATCTAATAATTCTTTTATACCATTATTTGCATGTAAAATGGATTTAATTATTAACAATTTGTCAACCAGATTTCTAACGCCCTTTATTACATTAAAATCACAAGTAATATATTCAGTAGTGACCTACCTTTTCAAGAGCCAGTCTTATTAGAAATATCGATAATTAAATAAAATTATAAATTAAAGTAAACTGTAGAGACAAAAATGCTTGAAATAAGTGGGCAAATATAACTTGAAGAAAACAATGCTAAGTAGTCCACACTATCTAATCCAATTTGGATAATTCAGTCGTTCAACTCTGCTTAATAGGAGTATTTAACCCTGTAATGAGCAGACACAACTTGACCGCTTTCTCTCATTACGTGGTACAATACTCAAATCGGCGCAGAGCAAATTAATACCTTAGATATTAACTGAGCTGTGTAATGCAACTTCTGCTTTATATAAAGTGCTGCAGTAATCGATGCACTCATGAACCTATGCCGCTCGATACTATTGATTTTCTATTTGATCATTGCTTGTTGTCGTAAACTTTCTTGTGGGCAAGTCAAATTAATTACAGTACAAACCCATTTTACGCAGTTAAGAAATAAATAAATCACGTTACAAGTTGATTTATTTCAACGATAAGAAAGTTCCATTTAATTATTAACGAACTTGGCTTACGATATTTACGATAGAGATTGGAAGATTGAGTATATCCTAGCTAATAGCGAGGTCCTAATTATTTTATAAAAGCGAAACCTTTGTATCAGTACATTTTAAACACAAATTGAATTTCAAATTTTAACAATAGTGACACTCTTTCAAAAGTACCTCCTATTTGTAAAATGTATATTAATGGATTCTTGTCTGCTTTGTCATACTTATTTGACCAGAGACAAACATGCCTTTCAGTGTAATAATTAATAAGTGAAGTTTTTTATTGAGCAGTGATTTAGCAATGTGATACGAATAACTAGAAATCATGAAACTAAATTAGCCACTCATCGGATTTTGAGTATTGTGGACAGAGTCCCATTCACGATTCTTAAGTTCATTCCATTAATTCTACATTACATCGTAATATTTTAAAGTAAACCGTACTTCCAAAGATCAAATGAACAGCATAATTCTTCCATAATTCCATTATCTTCTTCTTGATCCCCTCCAGAATTTCATACCCTATTCCACTGTTCGGATAATTTTACGCAATCGAATGTTACAATGTTTCTCATAACATCATGGTAGTTTCAAGAGAACGCATGATGAGAATTTAGCCATGACCAGCGCTAATTTTAGATTTCAGCATCGCATTTAACGACCTACCTCAAATGAACAAGTGAATTACTACTTGATTTTGTGTTTTAGCATAGCTACTTTTCCGTTTGGATGAAATTTATTTATTATTCATTTATTTCAAATGACAGGCGTTTCGATAGCTATCATTAGCCATTTAGCTGACTTCGGGCTTCACGGAGGGAAGGGTCACCAAAGTAGAAGAAAGTCGAGGGGTGGGGAGCAGAAGAGCGATTCACAGATGTACAAGAGGCAGACAGACACAAAGGTAGGGAAAAGGTAAGCAAGAGGCAGACAGACACAAAGGTAGGGAAAAGGGCAAGATGAGTGCTGTGGAAGGGGTCGAATATGACAAGTAGTCTGGCCATGGTAGTTTGAAGTCAGAAGTCAACTGTCGGCTAATAGACTTTTTGGCCGTATGAGTATACGTTGCCCAGGGTGCACCACGTGGAGGTCAGTCTATCGCACACTCCCGTTTGGATGAAATTCTAATGCATAATATCGACTAGTCTCTTGGTCTAATTAAGTTTCAATCGAGGAAAGCATATTCTTTATAGTGGCTTTCCAATTGTGTGCGCCTTTTAAGTTAATTGGCCTCCTTTTAACCAAAATTGGCCATTCATATACTTTCTCGTTTACGTAAAGTACTTGGTGAATAAACTTCGTGTAAGTGGACGCCAATGTTGAATTTAAATTATTTAAGTAACCAGCTTTTAGGATCACTGACAACTGGACTACCAAGGTGAGAAAGGAGACTGAGATTACGAAGATAAGTTCAATTCGGTATCTAAGTAGTAGGGTGAAACTCGATATTCAGGTTTTCAATGACGGAGAAAATCAGCAGACGTCATAAAGACAAAGGGATTTTTGCCGCAGGCAGGATCGTCGGTCAATATTTAGGAGGCAAATCCCGCGAGGAAACAGTATAACTGTAAGTCCGTCAATCAATACTTATTTGACAATAAACGATTCAATCAGAAGGTGTAGGGCATTTGGATGGAAGTTTTTAAAATAAAGACTATTCTTTTGCAAAAAACCCCCTTGAATTCTTAAATAGGCATCATGGCTGAAAAGTTCAAATTAGGAAGAGATTAAAAATAGGGTGCACCCTGTGCTATACGATTTTACCAGGCACGAGCATAGAACACCAAAAATCGATAATGCAGTGTGCGATTGGTAGAATCATTAAAATCTGTTTAAATGCACTGTAGGAGTGAGATTCAATTTTTTGCACAATAACTCTTTCCATACTATAAAATTTTATTATTTATTCATTTATTCCACTTTCTAAATGTAGATGAAAATCTATGTATTACTGTAGTCAGTTAGTTTTGATTTATGCTTGTAAGCATTCTTTGCTCAAAGCTCAAAAACTATGTAATAGGATTAGACTTAACATGCATATGTACATCGTTTGCTCCTTCATTTTAAAAGGTAAAAATGATTAAACAAATAAACAATAATATATGTATATTCATTTATTAGTAGAAATCCTCTCAATAACATACCTGATTTCAGTACATTTTTCCACTTCACTATTAATTAAACCTAGGTTTTAACAAAAATGAATAAAAATTAAACCAGAAGAATGGTAATCAAACATCATCTTACTCGCAGGCTTCAATTTTCAGTTTTGAAATCAGAATACTATCTTAACCCATTCCTGTGCTCGAGATAGACCAATTTTATCTCTTCATGAAATGTCGATTTTATCCGGAGTATGGATGTGTATATTTATTTAACAGGATAATTAATACTAAATAAAGTTCAATTAATACTATCTGCGTGCCTTGTAATTAAAATTTGAATTTTTTCATTCATTCTAATGTAGTATGCAAACCCCAATTTCCCTAATCTAATTCAAAGGTTGGCAGTTACCTGTTCAAGAGGACAATTACACTCAGACCATTTCAAAGCCAGAAATTTGGGTCAGAATTTCCAAAATCATTCTTTTATCACACTTTCAATGTAAATATTCGAGGTTTTTGTCCACTAAGATACAGATGACTCTATTTCTCAAAGCTCTCCTTTCTGTCCTATCTAAATGGGTTTATCGATTACCAATTTTACTTTTAACGGTTTCTCCCACGCGTTCTTATTAAAGTGGCTCACATTGACTGCCTTTGTATCTCCACTTGCTTCCATGACGTAGACAGATGTTTGTCGCTTATTTTTCCGTGCGCTTCTCCCTACCTTCTCTAGTCTACCGCACTCTCTCGAATCCTCATCGTAATTTTTTTCAATACGCATCGGTCTACACAGCTCATTATTCCATACATTTTGGGAAACGTCGTTGGCCGCTATTAGCCGCTATCCTTACCCTGGTCTCCTTCAGACCTATCCTGGTTTATTAGTCTCTGCAATTCGACAGCTAAACAATCTGATGACCCTCGAATCAGTTATCAACCCCCCCCCTCCCCCTCCAACAAAGAAAAAGAACTTATCGCTAACCAAAAGACCAATCGTAGGTTCACAATTCAATAAGCTCATTTAAACCTTTTTATCCTCCTTGTAGATCCGATTTGTTCACCTAGTGCATGTCTATTCGTGTTGATCCTCATGTATCATTAAAAATGAAAATGTGGGTTTGGACCAAGCGCCTTTGTAGAAAGTACCGATTCCAGGATTAATTCTGAATAGATGGACCATTTTATGGAGCTTATGATGAAAAAAACGGGGGCGTGCGATAGACTTATCTCCACGTGGTGCACCATATTCGAATACTTCCACAGTTCTCGTCTTACCTCTTCTCTGCCTTTAAGTCTCCCATTTATACCTGTGAATCACCCTTCTGTTCCCCCACTCGACATTTTATGACTTTGATGTTCCTCCCCTCTGTGAAGCCCGAGGTCAGCTAAAGTGCTATTGACAATTATCATATTTTCTGTCCATTGACAAAATTAAATGATGAGAACACTCCATTCTGCGAGCCAGTAAGTTTTACACTCGTGACGTCTATTTTACCAAATGAGCTAATTTTTATTTCTAAAAATTTAAACACAAGCCATGTTAGCTGTAATGGACATAGCCATATTGATTTTTCTAGGTGTAAGTCTAAATTTGACGAATAAACTAAGTGTGTTACTCTGAAAACGGAAATGTTGTACTCGTTTAAAATTATTCATTTTTAAGCGCCCGCCCTCCTCTAATTTAAGAAAAACAATTAGCTGTTTTACGAGTAGCACTACAAGTAAAACAATCCCGGGTATCAACTCACTGACACCATTCTGTGGTGAAAACAAAATGAGGGACACATTATGCCAAATGAATGCTCCACCAATTCGAATTGAAGGAAGTTTAGAAAGTGTGGAAAAATCAGTCCTTCGTTCATTTTACCCACATCTACTACACTCTTACTCACTGTCTTCTCAGAGCTGAATCCCAGCATGGAATTTGTTATGAAATCTCAATAAACCATATTTTTAATGAAAAGGAGACCCTAACTGCAAGAGGATTCACAAGGAAATGGTAGTTTCAAGAACGACTTCCTCAAATAGGTCTCCCTTACACCCCTCTCTCCTTAAGGTCATGCCCCCTATTTCCAAATCATATCCTTGGTGTTACCTTTTGTTTAGGCATTCGAATTGTACCAAATAGTACTTCTGTAAAAATGTCATTGATAGTTTTCATTTTATGGATTTACGACAATGCGTTCTACTGGATAATGACGAATGAATAATGGATAAAGTATGAAGATAGTTCAACTGGATTGGATAAAAACGTCCTTTTGTTCAAATCCAGGCGAAGCTAGGTGCTATATTCCATCATCTAATGCCTTTATGGCAGTAAGATCTGCAAGTGGGTTGAACAACAGATATATTTCATGATAAGTTTTCATTCAGTCCAAGTGAATAGACACCGTCAAAGGCTAAAATGATTCTTTTGTTATAGGTGGACTGTGAGAAAATTTATTTTTTTCGAAAATAAAGTTTAAAACACTACCCTTAAATAAGCCTATAGAACTTTTATATCGAACATTTCCACCGAAATTCACGAAAGTTCAAGTCTTCAAGTGGAACCAATCTCTCTCAAGTGTATAGTAGGTACTTGTGAGATCATTCAAGCTAATATCGTTTCACTAACGTCCTTACCATTTGGAGCTTTCGAAGATGAAAGGTGTCGAAATCTTAAATCAATAGGACCATGTTTAATAATTGATAAAGTTTTAAATAACTTTCATCGATCAGTTTATTCAACTCCGCATTTGACACGTCGCCTCCATTTATTCTCACCTTGTTACGGTCGAGAGCAGGTAGATGGGATATCAGAAAATACAATATTTGCATTATAATTTACTCTAATATTTGCCACCATTGATCTTTCAACCAAGTCTTTCAATTTTTAAGGTTCTTTAGAATTGGGAAATTTCTTCCACTTAGTCCAATTAGTTTATTACACCTAAAATTTCATTGAGTTTTTTGTGAGTATAATTATGCTGAGAAGAACTAATTAAAAAAGTAACACTTCTAATAGTTTTACCCCTCAATCTTAAGGAGTTTAATTGTATTCAGGGATTTCCTCTAAAAATTAAATAGGAATAAATTAAATATTTATGAACTCATCCAATTAGAGATGGGTCTCGTCGATTAGAGCACGCTAATTAATGAAGCTTCTGCCCATTTCCCTGAGGAATTTATAGAATATTCAGTTGAACGAAAATTTTAAACATACGCTGTTTAGAATAAAATAAAGGAAATGTTTTATAAAGGTTTATTGGTACAGGCGACAAAATTGCAGAGTTGTAATATACTTTATGGCATTACCCATAAAGTGAATGCTCAGGTATTAATTTAATTAACATGCATTATACTTTTCGGACATATGAACGAAAGGGTTTAATATCTGTCATATATGCTTTATGAGATAAGTATTCACTTTGGAGTTAATTCGTTCACAATCCAAACATTATATGTGTATTCGCTTTTGCTCATTTGCAACCTAACGCACAATTTGATGCCAAAGTAAAATGCTATGAAAACAAATTTTCTTTCATAAATTGTTTAAACAATTAATCGGAGTATAAACGAAAAGATCATAACGTTAATGTCTTATTTGTGGCACTTGGTAAAATGAACAGAAATGCAATCGTTGAAAAATCCCATTTTTTGCGAATTTTCGGCTATCAATGGAAGATACCCTAATTGGTACTAATTTAGCTGACGTGAATAAACTAATTAAGAAGGGAAAAGTTAGTTTGATAGGTTAACATAAATTCCAACGTTTCTATTACTAACCTTAAATGATTAATACTTGCAGACAAACTATAAATTCTCTAATTAAACCTAATATTGGAAGTGTAAAAAAGGAAAGTTCTATGTGTTCATGATAAATCTTTCTTTCTGAAAATGCCCAAAATAACGAGCATTCAGTTGTCAAGTGTGAGTTAGCCCGGACTGTAAATAATTTAGCAAATGCATAGATAGTCCGATTTATTCCCAAGCAAATGCTCTTGAGGTGTCTGTTTGCTTTATTTCGTTTAACTAAACAAATGCATTTTCTTACATAGAAGACGCCGTGAGCCAGAATACAAACTTTTATAAGTGATTAAAATTTTCCAGTCTCCCAAATGCAAGAATATCTATTTTGCATCTACACAAGTTCACTCAATCTAAATATGATTTTCTTTGATGCGTTTTGTTTTTATTTTATTGCAACGACCCAACAATTAAAAGTTTACTTGCTGAGCTGTAACGGCCAGGGTCTTAAGGGAAATAAATCATAAAATAGATTAAAAATGAGCTATATTTTTCGGTGTGATGTTGTAAAGCTTCAAAGAGTGTTAAACATTACTTCTCTATTGAGCAGCATTTATTCTTACAATGCATGAAAATGGATTACTAAATCTGTTTAAGCACTATCTGATTAGTTTTGGATACCGATTTCGATTAATTCACTAGAAATGCTAGACATATTGTACAACTAAGGTCAGTTATTTGTGCTTTTTAGGGACGAAAGTTTTAATTAAATCGGAGAGAAGAATGAATTTTTGATGTCAAAACAGATGTGATTGGATGATTTGAAGAAGTTCATGCTTTGAGACAGAAAATTTTACTCTGAGTTCTAACGGGGATCGAGAGTAGGGGAAAAGACTTCTAACCAGTAGTTAAATTAATAATTATCACAAAATTGATAACGATTAAGGCCTGTTTAAGCAAACCACCACCGGCACTTCCAAGTAGAAACATTAATGGCTCAATTTAAAAATAACATATAGAGGTATAATGATATTTCCCGTGAATTCATAAACAGGATAATTTATTTGTACAGTATCTGGTGATAAATAGCTTTATTTTAATAATTAAACAAAACAATCTTGTTAACTACTTCGGTATTGGTCTTTAAATTGTCGATTCGATATTCGAGGACAAATTTGACTCCGGGATATTAAACGAACCTTAGAATCTGATAGTAAGAATATTGATTGAACAATCTGTTGATATGGAAATGAATAAACCAGAAGTTTGTACGGATATTTTTTACAATATAGAATTGTCATATTTCCCATGGGATTGAAATAATTATTCCAAGAATAAAATACACGTCTGACATAATAAATAAACCATAATTGACCATTTAGAGCATTTGTAAAATGTATAATTATATAGGTAAGTTAGTAATGAATGAATTAATACTAATCAAAATAACTTCGATTTTCATCGAATAATTGTAAAAAGTGAAAATTTATAATAATTTTAATTGCAGTCATAAGTTAATTCTTATCGTAATTACATTAGTAGCTCTTTCCAAATATTAAAATACATTTTAGGTTGTCCTAGAATGAATTCGCTGATTAGTGCAATTTGGGCAATTTCACCCTCTTGCTCATTTCTGCAGGTGTTTTTTTTAATTTTCGAGTTAATGCCTTATTAACTATTTTGAGGTCTAACATATTTCTTTATCTATAATTTGTTTAATGAAACCTAAGAAATCATGTTCTTAGCGTTATATTAATGTACTCCATTTCCAATACTACTAGTAACATAATTTGCCTTTTTCTCTTTATTAACTAGATTCTGCAATTTATGTTTTGATGGTGAGCCACATGCTATCATAGCGACAAGTGTATATATTGCTTTTCCTTGTCGATTAACTACGTCGCTCCTCTTTCCATTTTAGCTTAATGAGCTTCATGGCAAAGTATGTGGACCTTATGAAATAGGTATTGAAGCGACCGAGGACATGACTTTATCGAATTTCGAAGCTTCAACTGGTTAGTCGTCTTTGACATTTCAAAGCTAGCCAAATGATACTCAGGCATTCACGTAGACTATTTTTTAACAGATACCTTACGCGAGGCTCCGCTACAATCTTCAGAGTGGCATTCCTCACTTCCAAAGTACGGCTCTTTTGGATAAATGACTAATTTATTTCTCACGTCTAATGTGGTTCTGTTTTACCTGTCACAGTTTCATCTCCAAAAATCCACCCCAAAGATGCCGATTCTTTCCCAATTCTACCATCGATCTCACCTATTCCTCACTTCAAACTGGTGCCGTTTCCTTTATATATAAGTTATCTCATTTTGCGCCCATATTTAACAGTGTTCGTTGTTCATTGATTACTTTGTCTTAGGCAATCACTCCTTTGATGATTTTTCTGTTGGAATCAGTGACTTCAAAGAAGATCTCACCACAGAAATTGCTCTTTTTCACGCTTGTGAAGATGTCATCTGTACTCTTGAGGCCTCACTGTTTTCCGCTCGTCTTCCTAAATCCCAACAAAAAACTGAGAGGATTCTGGTTGACTCAGATGATCTTCTGGATCCTATGCCATTTACTTCCTCCAAATCATTTTCGAATTTCAAGCATTTTTCTTCTCTGCCGAATCTTCTAGAATTACAGGAAGTAAGTTCGTATTTTTTTGATCTAGTACGCCTATAGTGAAAAAAATAAGAAGAGACGCTTCTTTCTCTTGAATCTGATCGACTCCTCACAATATGACCCTTGAATCTGGTATTTACTTTTCTGGATAACTCATTATTTAAAGTAATTATCATTTCTGTTATTTCAATTTCTTTGACTTATTTTTCATTTCCCTTTGTTTTTTGCTACGGCAGTTGCTTATTAATGTTTAAAGACGAAGTTTTCCATCGAAAGACCGTAAAATCGTTATATTTTCTATAATCATGAATTTATGTAATTCATACTATGAATTGGCATACATTCAACTAACTCACTTGATCTTACTTCCAGTGTATTATTAGCCATTGGAACAAAATGATGCTTCTATTTTTTGTCTCGATAAGTCTAATTTTCCATCTTCTTACGCTTGTGGATCGTCATGCTCGTTTATTCCATTGCGGTTTAGCTGTATGTTTTTTATTTAGATCCACTTTTCGTATTGACGACCTGTGAATTGGGTAGACTAGAAATACTCTTAAACCATTAGCAGAAGCTTATATATTTTGCCATTCTTTTTGTCGACCTTATTATTGGATGTTTTTTAGAGGATTATGTTGGATAGAATGGAGATAGCTTGGGGTCTCTAGTACACTAATACAGTTTTTTTCAATTTTGGCCAATTGAGTTGTTCATTCAAACAATTTACTTAATTCCCCTTGTAATAAACTTTCTCTTAAGGTTTTTCCTGAAGGGTAGGTTTGTGTGTAGTTGTCATTTTGAATTTACTAAGAACTAAATCACATGAGCATGCGATATTCTTGCTAAATCTTTAACTTTGTGACATTTTTGTACACTTGTTATTTTTATAGAAGAAGATCGAAGATTCTTTTGCACGCTGTTGCTCTCTACATCGGCTCAGTGTTTTTAATTCTTCCGGCACTCTCCACTTCAAAGATGCCTCCACAAACAACAATACTGAGGAGGCAGACGATATGGTTAACTTTGATTCCTGCCAAACAGCCCTGGTATCAGGTGGTTTAGTTCGAGCTGTGCTACAAGACACATTTCCACCAGTCACAAGACTTCCCCTTCGCATTCGACAACTTCAGGAACGAGTGGCGACTATGTCTGACACTGATTGGGTCGTCAAGTATCAAAAAAGCGCCAATTACGAGTCTAATGATTTTACAAATGAGGGTACACGCTTAGGCCAATTTGGACTTAGGAATGTATCGAGTTTCTCAACGTTATTTGAGACTGACTATCGTCAGAATAAAAATTTTGATGTTGTGGATCCTCTCTTGTCGCCGTTTGAAATAAACACAGGCTCAACTCCTAGTAGTCCTTTCTTGTCGACCAAACAACAACTTCCCTTAGTCGGTGTTGAAAACTTCTTCTATACTGGGTCTACCACCAATGAGCAAACGCCTATTCAACAACAACAACAGAAAGCTGGTAGCATGAGTCGATTGAATTGGGTGTCCTCTAAAAACCTCATCATTAGTCCTATTATACCAAGGGAGAAGTGAGTGCACTCTTTGCGTTGTACATTTGTAGCATTGCTTCCGATTCTAAAACACCTTACCCGATGCGCGCTATTCCGTTAATGTAGACGAAAAGGAATACTAATGAGCCAACAGAATCGCTGCTTTGGTTGCGGAATTTATGTTGAAACAAGTAAGTGGGAATTTCGCCAATGTAGTTTTTGGCTTCTTTTTTTGGATGGACCAGTTAATTTTTTTTTATGCCCTGTGCTCATGGCACGGGAGTTGGGGAGTACCCTTCTGGGGGGGGGTAAGAAGTCATGGATTCGGTACACAAGGAGTAAGCAGATTGGCCAATGGCACGGCTCAAGTCCACCCAATCAAGGCCTCACAGAATTCGAATTTCCTACCAGAAGATTTCGTACATGCTTTTCTGAGTAGGCTTGGGAGTTAATTTTGTGTCCTTGAACCTAAGATTTGTACTTATTGCTTTACCATTGTGGTTGGAGCTTTGCTTTTGGGGCCTGGCTATTATTTGCACTTATCAATCTAGTTCAAATTCCCATGGTTACATTAAAAATAATATATATCATGTACCTACGGGGTATGTCATATATTATGTAAATAAATTTATTTATATATCAATTGGCAGGCGTTTCGGTAGCTATCATTAGTTCTTTAGCTGACCTCCGGCTTCACACAGGGGTGGAACATCAAGGTCACAAAATGTCGAGAGAGGGAGAGAGAACAGATGAATTATTCACAGATTTCAAAGAGAGAGAGAGAGAGAGAGACAGACAAGAAGGTAGAGAAAAATGTGTAAGGTGAGTACTGAGTGAGTGGTCGAATATGACATACAGTGGGGGTGATGGTAGTTTGAAGTGAGAAGTCGGCTGGTGGTTTATAGACGTTTTCGCCGTATGAGTGTACGTTGGCCAGGGTGCACCACGTGCGGGGGCAAGTCTATCGCACACCCCTCATTATGTACATAAATTACACTTACTATAAGCCTAATGTATTTTTTCTTTTTTTTTTCCTCTTAAGAATACCTTCGAAGTATGCGTTTCTGTGAGTACTTTGGCCGCTTTTTCTGCAGTATGTGCCATTCAAATACCCTGATGGTTCTACCCGGCGCTTTGGTACAAACATGGAGTGGTACCATGTATCCGGTGAGCAAGTTTGCTCGAGATCTCCTCACTCCCCTTCACAATCTCCCACTCCTCCATTCCGCCGATTTTGGGCCTGAACTTCGACGAAAACCTCAATGGACCCTGCTGGATGCCATCCAACTCCGCAAGCAGGCCATGGCTATAGTACCGTTTCTTAAACTCTGTCATGACAGTAAGTATTCTCTCTTCTGATTAACGGGTGATTTTGGGGGGGGGGGAGGGGGGGGGAGGGGGACTGGGGGGCATGCTAATCGCGCACACATTTTGAGGGTATCAAACGGCAGGAAGCATTTCATTGGCGGTGAAGGTCTCAACTAATGTATGTCACTTCATAATTAGTGCTCTCTGCCTATACTGCTAAGCTACTGATGCAAAGAACCAAAATGGCTAAATCCTCATTTCATAGGCTCTCAAATATCAGCACAAGTCTACCCGTAGCTAAAAGTCAGAAGGTTAACTGAGCGCGTTTATCGTGCTCTCGAGATCTTTTCACCACGACTTTGGCGTAGGTCCGTAAACGCAGGATGAATATTTTTGTCACTTGCCCAGAGTCCTATCTCCAAGACGCGCTGCTAAACGCCAGTAGTAGAAAAGGCTTTGTAGATAATGAGCTCGTTTTAAATGTTGAACTGTGTCCTATATTTAAAAATTCTCTTCTCTTAACTTCCCCTAAGAGCCTGTTGTCACTGAAGTAGTGCTGCAAGCAAGGATTGTAATTCAGAAAATTTTCACTTCGTTTACTTAAAAGCACTTCTATCTATTTATGATAAAAATATTCTTTTTTTCTAAATATTTATTTATTTTAAATGGCGGACTTTATGATACTTATCATTAGCCCCTTAGCTGACTTCAGGCTTCACACAGAGGGGAAGGAACATCAATGTGGAAAAAAAGTCGGGAGGGGGGGGGGCAACAGAAGAGTGCTTCAAAGACGAAGGCAGAAAAAAGGTGAGGTGAGTACTGTGGCAGTGGTGGAATATGACAAGCATTCAGTGGGGTCTTTGTAGTTTGAAGTCAGAAGTCAACTGCCAGTATACGTTTTCCAGGGCAGTTGGGTCTATGAACTCCCTGCAGGTAGTTTTGGGTCTGTCTAGTAAAATAAAGGTACATTGGAGACAAGATAGCTAATGTGAACTTAACATACTAAATTTATAAAAGTAGAATTAAAAACCTAGAAGGGTACAGGAGTGGGGGTGGGATTTGGGTGGGGGAGGGGGAGGGGGGAGGAAGCAATCATCCTGTCACAATGGGGCCTTTCGTTGCAAGCTGCATGGGATTGTGTTTGAGATATTTCTCAAGTCCCCAACTTCTCATTAGTGCCGCCTTTGCGCCCATTTTGTTGGAGTGTTTGCAAGGGTCTTGGTGCCGATTGGGTGAGGTTGCATGCCTAGCCCGCTTCTTCCAGCAGTAGCAATGTGATTGGTCACCTTCATGTCCATCCAGTGATAGCAGTTCTTTTTGGGCATTACATTTGAATTTCGTTATTCTTCACACACGAACCACGAATATTAATATTAGAAAATTATCTCTGCTTTGTAGGTAATGCCAGTGGCGAGTTGTCTTGAAGTATTGGCGACACTCGTGTTGTATCATTTTGACTAGCCTAGGCGCACGTCCCGCTCATCAAGTAGAACCACAGATTAGTTCAATAGGTTATATGACGCGTGTGGTAGTCAAGAAAGTTTATTTAATGATAAGAGTTATGGTCCATTTGAATGTCGAGAACATCGAATTAGTACTATGGCATACTGCAGTAATAAGTACTGTCTCCCACATTCACAACTGGGATTTTGTCCACGTTATTTCGTGTCTGTTGACCATCTAGCGTCTACAGGGTGTTCATAAAAAACGCATACACACTTAAAATAATTGTGTTGCAATCGGTCCCATTTACTTGAACTTTCTGCAGCAGTCTGTTAATGCCAATCATTGGAGAAGACTTTGAGGATGAAGCGTTTTATTTTCAGCAAGATGGGGCACCCCTTCACATTGCCGTCGCAATGTTAGGTCTTGCCAAACAGGTGGATTGGACGATGAGGTTTTGTTGAATATCCTCCTCGTTCGCCAGACTTCACATCACTAGATTTTTTCCTTTGGGGATACATAAAAGACAGAGTCTACGCTACAAAACCTGCAACAGTCACCGAATTAAGAGAAGCCATTGAGCATGAATGCGTCCAAATCCCAAAGGAATTAGTTCATGACGTGTACGATTCCATTGTGTGGTGTTGTCGGCAGTGTCTGGATCAAAATGGACGGCAGTTTGGGAACAGGCAATGTAGAACAATAAAATTAAACTTGCAAAATATATTTCTGCTTTGTTTCAATGTGTATGCATTTTTTTGGGACACCTTGTATTTCTATCACCTTACATCTACGAATAATT